TTTATACCCGAGCGCACTTGTGCACAAGGGTATTATAACTTTGTTCACATAACGGTTAAGTATGTCGAGAAATCTCTAAATAGTAGCGAAACTGTATCTCAATAATAACAAGTAATTTTAAGCAAAAAATACAACCGACTTCAATGCGCATTTAGGTCGTTCTGGTTACGTAGATCCGACTGTCCTCCCTTTTCTTAAAATCGTTAAAAAAATGAATACGTATTCTACAGAAAAAATCAAGAAACATATTTAAGGATTTTAAGTAAAAATAAATAAAGGAAAACTTGTTCGTGATATCTCGACCAAGGTGTATTCATGATACAAAAATCTAAAGGTAAAACCGCTGAAAGGCAGCATTATTACAAAAATGTTTTCAAATTTCCAATCTCACAAATACATTCCCGTTTTCGGTCTCAAATAAATGAAAATTTCAATATTTTCATCTATTTGTTTTTTGTTTTACTTTTATTTGGCATTTGAGTTGCTCTCAAAATTTCAATATTATAAAATAGACAAACTTCAAAAAATAAATGATGGCCGACGAATTGAGCAAGCGGTTTTACCTTTAAATATTTGTATCATGGGTGTATTAAACAAGNGAGCAAGCGGTTTTACCTTTAAATATTTGCATCATGGGTGTATTAAGGAAGGGGCCGTATGCATAAAACCTAAGCAAATGCTTTTCCTTAAAATTTCAGACCTTTCACTAAATTTTTTCAAATAAATTTAAGTGAAAGGTATGAAAATCTGAGAAAAAGTAATTGCTTAGTTATTTATGCATACGGCCCAAGGTGTTATTAACAACTCAGTGCGGCTCTCTTTTAAGATACTATTATGTAGAAAAATATAAACAAACGATTCAAAATTCATACAAATGGATGGTTCTTCTGAGAGCATGGTCAAATTCAATCACGCTTTGTTAGATACAATTTGATCTCTACTAAATAATATACTTCCTCTGTAAATATTTTATGAATTGTTCCGAAATTCGCTCCGAGCGCGTTCACTGTTGATCATTTGATTTAAATAGTTTATCAAACAATTAATACTATAGTTTGATCGGAGTTAATATATTCTTCAGTAATTAATTATATTATATTAAAACATAAACTTATGAGAAATCATTTAGTCTTAACATGCATATTATATATCGTGTTCTAAAATTCGCTCCGAGCGTGATCACTATTGATCTTTTGATTCAAATATTGTTTGTCAAGCTTTCAGTAATGAAGTTTGATCGGAGTTTATATATTATTCAGTAATTAATCATATTAAATTGAAATATAAACGCATAATATGGTAGAAAGCTAGAAATTATTTAGTGTTAATATGCATAATTCGCTCAGTGTTCCAAAATTCGCTCCTAGTGCGTTCACTATTGATCATTCGATTTAAATAATTGTTTCTCAAGCATTTAGTAATATAGTTTGATCGGAAATTATATATTCTTAAGTAATTGATCACATTTTATTAAAATATAAACGTTTAATAGGGTAGAAATTTTGAAATTATTTAGCTTTAGCATGTATAGTCGCCAGAGACAATTGCAGAAAACTGCAACTACTCGTGAAAACTTACAATAAAAGCAATGTAGATGAAGGTAATAAATATTATTATTAAAATTAGATCCATATATAAAATATTTTACATCATTTATTTGAATAAATCGGAATATATTTTTGCATATAAGATAGTTTCCATTTAGCTCATAAAGTACATATTTCACTACAAATATTTTTAAGATCATTTCCAATTGCAAAAATAGCGCTAATTAGTTGTATTGAAGTATAAAACATTTTATTACGTTCATGTTTACTTATAAAGCGCATAACAATATTTCTCTCGCCATTTTCCGATGTTTCAATTTTTCACCACGTTATTTTGCTGCACAGCACCCTGAATGCGGCAAAACAGTTGCTCGCAACCCTCAAGTCCTTTATGGGGACCAAATTAACAGCCACAACAACAAAAACCTTTTCTACTGGTATACTGTGCCTGTACGTGCTTTCTACTGAACACGTTGAGACGGTGAGCGTGCATGGTTGACGATGCGTGCGCGCTGTGACAAATGTTGCTGAAAGTAATAAACGAAAAAGATTTAACAAATTTTTTTTTACAAATAATTTCTTCAATAAATGCAGTTTTTGAAAATATAAACGAAATGGAAAACACTCATTGAGAACATATTTTTAATGCAACTTGAATATTTATAATGTTTAAATTTTAATATTTTTTTTTATAACTTATAAAAATATTTTTCTTTTAAAGCTCTAACGTCAATACGCTTACAAAAAAAAATTTCATCAACTTTCGTCGAATACTTTAAGAGAAAATAAGTTTAGAAAAAAAGATTGCATAAAAATATAACTGCTTATAAAAACTTTAAAAATTAAAATTAAAAAAAAAAATCCCAGAATCCCTTTCACATCTATAAACCTCTCTACTCACAAATTTTCACGCAAAAATTCGAACTTGACTGAAATCCGAAGTCCAGTTGAGAAATTCTCACCCAATTGCAAGATCATAGAAAAAGATTACGCATGCTTGGAAGAGATCTCACAGGTGGAAATAAGACCATCGGTAAAGCTCATGACACCGAAAGGGATTGGTATTCCATATGGTATCACAGCGTTACTATTATTGGCCTATATGTGAGGAGGATACTGCGCCTTAGTGGTTTCTACTTATACCAAAAATTTTGACTTTGCAGACTATTTTTGTTAGGTATCAAATATGGTTTGAACTAGTTGTGTTAAGTTTGAAGATATGGCAACCTGCGTGTTGTAATACAAGTAGATAAAATAAGAAAAGCGCATTGGCAACTCGAGAATAAAGGATGTGAGGAGGGAAGTTGAAAGAAAGAAACGATGGTGTTTGGTTGTGTTGGGGAATTGCTTGGTTTCTATTTGCATGGGATTAAGGGTTTATTTGGAGCATCCATGTATTGTGAGAATGGAGGGTTACGTCTTCGAATTAAACATTGGTCCGTGTAGAGCCGGATTGTATTTGCAGGTGATCGCGTTCAGCAGAGGAAAATCTAATTCCAAGAAGCTCTCATTGTATATGTACATACATATGTGAGTGCAGATTTGAGCGATACAGCGTGGTGACATTCTGCATATTGAGTATTCACGAAAAGTAAGTGACAATGAGAAGGAGATGACAGAGAAAAAGCGCGGTGAGAGTGTGAGAAAAGTAAAAAAAAAAAAAGACTCAAACGTCATCTTTGTGCTGTTACGTTTTGGTTTTTCGTCTTGTGGCAACCTTTGTCGTATGAAAAGTAAAAAAGGTGAGAGAACCTAGATTCGGGGTAGATGTCGCTTTCTGAATATTTTGTTATACAGTCCACCTTCCGTGTATTTATATACGAAAGAATTCAACAAATGGTTGAATATTTGCGAAAGAATTCAACAAACGGTTGAATATTTACGAAAGAGTTCAACAAAGGATTGAATGTTTACGAAAGAATTCAACAAATGGTTGAATATTTGCGAAAGTTCTCAACAAATGGTTGAATATTTGCGAAAGAATTCAACAAACGGTTGAATATTTACGAAAGAGTTCAACAAAGGATTGAATGTTTACGAAAGAATTCAACAAATGGTTGAATATTTGCGAAAGTTCTCAACAAATGGTTGAATATTTGCGAAAGAATTCAACAAACGGTTGAATATTTACGAAAGAGTTCAACAAAGGATTGAATGTTTACGAAAGAATTCAACAAATGGTTGAATATTTGCGAAAGTTCTCAACAAATGGTTGAATATTTGCGAAAGAATTCAACAAACGGTTGAATATTTACGAAAGAGTTCAACAAAGGATTGAATGTTTACGAAAGAATTCAACAAATGGTTGAATATTTGCGAAAGTTCTCAACAAATGGTTGAATATTTGCGAAAGAATTCAACAAACGGTTGAATATTTACGAAAGAGTTCAACAAAGGATTGAATGTTTACGAAAGAATTCAACAAATGGTTGAATATTTGCGAAAGTTCTCAACAAATGGTTGAATATTTGGAAAAGAATTCAACAAATGATGCAATATTTATGAATAGAATTCAACAAATCGTGAATATTGGCGTTTATAGCTTTTTGGGCGAAATGTGGTTAAACTGAAATCGATGGTTTGGAGCTGTGCTGGAATATTAAGATCAGGCGCTACTGACATTTCAAGTTGAGACACGAACCTCGAGATGGCATGAAACATTGTTAAGTGCTGAATTGGCAAGCTTTCTGGACTGTGTTGGGTATGCGTACAACGTGTGGTGTATGTGTAAAAGCTCAATATGTATACATGTGAAAACAAAAACTCGAGAGCGTAAGAGCTGGGTAGGGCTGGCATATTTACATACATCCATACATAAGTGCTTCGATGTAGCAGAAGCATACTGTCGACACATAATATTTCAAGGGAATTGAGTGACACCATTGGCATTCGAAAGAATAGCAAATTGTGCAGCTGATTTGGGTTTCATGTTCTTTGGATATGTTATTACCGCTCAGCAGTACGGAAACTCACTCAAAGCAATAGAAATTCAGAGAATTCAGACGAAAACGTAACGAGAGAGAATATAAAGTGGTGAATAGTTAAGGGAACGAGTCAAATTATAGTTGGGCGTTGTGTTCAGAGCGAAAAGCAGCTTGTTTAACTACTACATAGTTATATCGATGGTGAAAGGTTTATTCGCATCTTGTGTAAAATAATTTTACAAAACTGAATATAAGAGGTAGAAGACAGGTCTAAATCACATATAATTGTTAGCAGAAAGACATGTATGAATAATTTTTCTGTTTTGTTTTATATTTAGCACAACATGGCAGAGTTGGTTGGGAGTTTAAGCAAAACCATATCTCGCATCGAAGAGTATACTCGACAGCCAGAGTTTAGAGACGCGACTTTGGAGCAGGTAAAGGTCCGGGCGGACAAGTTGGAGAAATATTATGAGCGTTTCATAGAAGCGCACCAAAAGCAAGTAGAACGTGCACCTAAAAAGGCAAATAAGTATGATGAAATGGCTGCGCAGGTTGAAACACTTTATTTTGCAGCACATTCGGCTCTTATAGCCAAAGTAAATGCTCTAACGCCAGCTCCACCTTCCGCGGTACAACAACCGCTGGCAGTGCAGGTAAACTGGCCTTATCAGCAACATGATTTAAAAAATACGTGGGGAGAATTCGACGGGACAATCACGAAGTGGTCCGGTTTCCGTGACCGGTTTATAGCAGCTATACACAGCAATGACAATGTTTCGCCTGCATTTAAATTTTCGTATTTGAAAAAGTCCTTGGTAGGGAAGGCGGCGCGAACGCTGGGGGAATGGCAACTAACTGACGACAATTATATTGAAGCGTGGGATCGGCTTAAGCAGTTGTATGATAGAAAGTATCCAATCTGCCGAGAGCATTTGCGTCAACTGTTTCGCTTGCCGGCCGTTGAGGGTTCACCGCGGCCTAATGACTTACAACGCATGTCGAATGTTACACACGAAGCATTACGTCAGCTTCGTGCTCAGGGAATTCCTGTAGAAGGTTGGGACATGATTATTGTTCATATACTCCATGAGCGGCTAGATGCGGAGACTAGCAAACAATGGGAACTCCAACGTCAATCGGAGACGCCAACAATCAAGCAAATGTTAGACTTTTTGGATCGCCAGGCATCTGCTCTGGCAAATGTAGCTGATGTACGTCGATCGCGTATCCATATTGGACGCGAGGCTACAGGTACTAGCCGCGGTTTAGATGGTAACGGAGAGCGTGCTAGGCGAAATGAGGGGTCATATAGCACAGCTGTTAAAAAAGCTATTGCTTGTGCTGCATGTGGGCGTGATCATGCAATTTGGACGTGTGGTGAATTTATGGGCCTTACCTTACGAGCACGCGAGGACTTGGTAAATAAGAATAACCTTTGTCGAAATTGCTTAAAACGTGGCCATACGGCTGGCAGTTGCTTTCAAGGTGTTTGCCCACGTTGCTCAGGGCAGGTGAAACACAATAGCCTGCTGTGCCCTAAAAAGGAAATAACGAAACATGCACTTATAGTTAAGGATGTAGATGCTTCTTATACACGCAAAGACAAGAGATGCTCAACGAAACGACAGCGAGATGTAGCTGTCAGTCGCGTTTATACTGCACAGGTTAATCATCCCGAAGATTTTTCGGATATCGACAACGAGATCAAAAGAGTTGATAAGCAATTGAGTTTACTTCATAAGCAAGATCAATTGTTAAAGAAGCGCAAGGTAGTTTTCGAACAGGAAAAAGATTGTAATACGAGTAATATCAAAGAGAGAGAAATAAATGCTAATCAGCAGTATGGCGGTTCGTTTAACTTTGGTTTAGATTTAATGCCTGCTCTGCTGCCGACTGTTATGATCAGGTTAGAAGCGGATGGGCAATGTATCGGACCTGTTCGAGCATTATTAGATTGTGGGGCGCAGCCGAACTTGATTGCGTCTAGCCTGCATAACAGGTATAAACTCCCTAGTTTGCCAGCCACACACAAGATGATTGGAATTGAGGGGCAGTCTATCGATGTAAGTCGGCGAGTAGTTTTGAAAGTAAGGCCATGGTTTGACTCAGGCAGCTATATAGAGGAAGAATTTTGGATATTGCCTAGTGAAAATAACTGGGAACCTGTACTGCCGAATACTGTGGGTAGGGCACACCCTATAAGTAAGTCTCTGTCTATGCAGTTCGCTGATCCAGAGTATTGGAAGCCTGAGAAAGTACGCGTTATTCTCAATGTTAAAGTATTTGCAAAAGTCTTGGTCGCAGTGCATCCCGTGCAGTCAGAAGGGACGGCGCTTATAGAAACTCGTTTAGGTCTAGTCGTCTGCGGTACTCAGGTTCCAATTGATGGCGGCACAGGCACACCGACTTCATATATTAATTGTACAATTTCTGAAGATCTTGGTGAGCTGGTTAAGCGGTTTTGGCAATTAGATGAAATTGCTACGTGTTCCAAGCGCACTGAAGAAGAAGAAAAGGTCGAACGAATTTTTTTAGAAACATATTCTCGTGATAGTACAGGAAGATTCACGGTCACAATTCCAATAAAAGAGAATATAAGCGATATTGGGTGTTCAAGGGATATTGCACTGCAGCGTTTTTGGTCTTTGGAAAAAAGATTGAGCCGAGATTCTGAATTGAAAAAACAATATGTCGAGTTCATGAGGGAGTATGAGCAACTAGGTCACATGGAGCAAGTTTCCAAACCAGCCACGCCGGGTGAGATGGTATACTACATCCCTCATCACTGCGTAATTAAGAAATTTAGAGTAGTTTTTGATGCCAGCTGCAGAACAAATAAGGGCATTTCTCTAAACGATGTACAGATGTTGGGCGAAAAGCTACAGCGCGATCTAACAGAAATTATTATGAGATTCCGTAGGCATAAATTTGGGGTCATTGGCGATATTAAGATGATGTTCCGTCAGGTGCTCATCAACAAAGAGCAGTGGAACTTGCAACGCATTTTTTGGAGGGAGTATAGCAGTGAACCTTTGAGAGAGTATTGCTTGAAGGTTGTTACTTATGGAATGACATCGTCAGCTTTCAACGCAGTTCGAGCGGTTATACAGTGCGCACGAGATGCGGCCGAGGAATTTCCAGAAGCCTCTAGGATAATTGAAAATGATTTGTATATGGATGATTGCATTACCGGAGCAGAAAGTGAAGATAAAGCGATAGAAATGGCGAAATCAGTGCAAAATGTGTTAGCAGGGGGAGGTTTTCAAATGAGAAAGTGGAAATCGAACTCCAAAACACTGATAACAGACATGCGGTCGGATGAAGAAGAGGACAGTATGTTCATAGACGAGGAAAGAGCCACAGTTCTAGGACTTAAATGGAATATTGCTCGAGATCAATTCACCTTTGTTGTAAAGACTCCCGAGGTTGAAGGTTTGGTTACCAAAAGGAAAATTTTGAGCTTGGTGGCGCAGCTTTATGACCCTAACGGGTACATATCTCCTGTTACAATGATGGGGAAAGTACTGATACAAGATTTGTGGCGCCTTGGTATAGAATGGGATACACCTGTGGGTAACGAAATAGAAGAGAGATTCAAAAGATTTTGGGAAGATATGAAATGCCTGGAGGGGTTCACTTTGGATAGATGGATCGGCACTGGTGATGGTCAACGTGTTGAGCTGCATGGGTTCTCTGACGCGTCAACATTAGCATATGGTGCCGTAATTTATGTACGTGTGGAAAACGGAAACGGAGTCGCGAAAACAACCTTGCTTGCATCCAAATCACGGGTAGCGCCCATGAAAACTGTTTCAGTGCCCAGGTTGGAGTTGGCTGCCGCGGAGCTTTTATCACGTTTGCTGGTTGAGGTTATGAGAGCTATGGAATTTTCTGAAATAAAGTATACGTTGTGGACAGACTCTCAGGTGGTATTGCACTGGATTGGTAAAATTCCACGGGACTTGAAAACGTTTGTAGCAAATCGCGTTTCGTCGATACAAACGAACACTGATATAAAAAGATGGAGATACATTAATACGAAAGATAATCCAGCCGATCTATTAAGTCGCGGTATGAGGCCATCAGATATTATAAACAATAAGCTGTGGGTACAAGGTCCGGAGTGGTTAAATCAGGAATCGACGTGCTGGCCTGATTGTGTGTTTGTGCCAAACACAGCGGCGGAGGCTGAAGTTGAGTTTAAAGTGTTTTCGGTATCAAACACCAAGGAGCCATTGCAGATTTCCAGACGTACTGCGAAGCAGAAGGTAGCAATAATAGACTATGTTGATAAATTGGAGAGAGCGGTCAATATTGTTGCCTATCTATTTAAATTTATTGCGAACGCAAAAATGCATGCAGTAGCGACGAGGAGGAGAAGAGGTGAAATGGAGTGCGTAGCATTAAGTAATGAGCACAGAGTCAAGGCGATGAATTTCCTAGTACGACAGGAGCAAGAGACATTTTACGACAAAGAGATTGCGTGCCTAAAAAGTGGCAAACCAATTGCGGAGAAGAGCAAAATTGAGTCTTTGAAACCGATACTAAGAGACGGTCTTCTCAGGGTTCATGGCCGTTTGAAAAATTCAAACCTAAGTGAGAATATGCGTCATCCTGTAATTGTCCCCGGAGGATCAAGATTGGGATGGCTGATCATGGATCATGCTCATCGGGAAACTAAGCATGGCGGTGTCCAGGTGATGATGCAGTTCATTCGGCAGTGTTATTGGATTCCACGTCTGCGTAGCTCATTGAGACAATATTTGCATAACTGTGTGACTTGTGTACGACACAGTCGTCGAATTGAATCGCAATTGATGGCAGATTTGCCTGCCGACCGAGTAAGAGCAGGTAAACCGTTTTTGCACGTTGGGGTTGACTATGCAGGGCCTATGGATATTAAGATGATTGATAGAGAAGGTAGCCAAATCACGAGACAAAAGGTATGGATCGCTGTATTCGTATGCCTGAAGACACGGGCCGTTCATTTAGATATTGTGAGCGACCTAACAACGGTAGCATTTATTGCCTGTTACGAAAGATTTGTTGCTCGTCGTGGACGATGTGAACGAATTTACAGCGACAACGGTACAGCGTTTGTGGGTGCAGCGAAGGAAATGAGGCGAGCGGTGGATAATTGGTATAAGAAGGAGATGTTCCAGCATTTGTCAACACAGGGTACTGAGTGGCAGTTTATGACGCCGGCGGCCCCGCACCAGGGCGGAATATATGAAGCTGCGGTCAAATCAATGAAGCACCATCTGATTCGAGTCATCGGGCTTCGAGTGTTACCTTTCGAGCAATTACAGACATTACTTACACAAATCGAGGCAATACTTAATTCTCGTCCCCTACAAGCTTTGAGTGATGACCCAGACGATCTTCAAGCTCTTACACCTGGACACTTCCTGACCGGAGAGCCATTGGTTTTACCTTTACCTTTTGATGTATCAGACACGTCTTCAGCTAAGGGGATGCAGCTTTGGAGAGAAAGACAGCGCATCGTGAAAACGTTTTGGGAAGATGGCACAATGAATACCTGACCTCACTTCAGGAGCGGAAAAAATGGCGAAGAAGTTCCGAACGAGTGAAGCTGGGGAAATTAGTGCTCATAAGAAGCGAGAATTTCCCTCCTGCGCAGTGGGCATTAGGACGCATCATCGAACTCCACCCGAGTACGGACAACTTGGTGCGATCCGTGACGATTCAGACCTCGACAAATATTCTCCGTCGACCAGTGCAGAAGATTTGCATCTTACCTATTGAATTGGGCGAAAGCTAAACGCATAAGATATACTTCGGATACCACGGGAAAACCGGAGGTTTTCGGCGGGATTGTTAGGTATCAAATATGGTTTGAACTAGTTGTGTTAAGTTTGAAGATATGGCAACCTGCGTGTTGTAATACAAGTAGATAAAATAAGAAAAGCGCATTGGCAACTCGAGAATAAAGGATGTGAGGAGGGAAGTTGAAAGAAAGAAACGATGGTGTTTGGTTGTGTTGGGGAATTGCTTGGTTTCTATTTGCATGGGATTAAGGGTTTATTTGGAGCATCCATGTATTGTGAGAATGGAGGGTTACGTCTTCGAATTAAACAATTTTTGCTTTTAAACGCTCTTTTACATTGGCCAACGCAAAAGTTCTTATTAGGCGCCGCACAGAGGAGTATTTGCATGGTAAAACCGGTCAAAATTATTTGGTGTGTGTTTTCTGCAAAGTAATTAAATACAACACGGAAATTAATCATAATAAGACATTTATATTAGAAAAAAGAATAGTTACACTTACTTTAGAAACATGTTCTGACGTATTAATGCATCAGATACCATAGGCACACATATGGAAATACCTAATCACATTTCCTGCATATCCATTGGTGTAAATAGGTATTTTAAATACACATATATAAATAAATACATTAAAAAATATTTTCTTGTAAGATGTATTAAGTATAAGACTTTAAATACATAAAGTAAAATTAAAATTAAGAAATTAAGCATCAGAACCCGATTCCTCATTTTCATCTTGATCACTGCTTTCGTATAGCTCATTTAGCGCTCCCGGAAGCAGAAGACTTATCGTTTCGGAAGAAAATGGCTTACCCTTCTTACGGGGTTGTGGTCTACTGCTGCTTATAAATTGGTCCGATGTTAAAAGAAGCCTGTTCAAAATGTCTCTATTACACTGAACTCTTGAACATTTCCGGGAAAAGTTTTGCCTGTAGAGCCTGAAGTGCTTGTTTCTTGCTTCAGCAGCTTCTTCTGAGAGTTGTCCAATCGGCAATATTGAATGTGCAATAAAATTTTATGCACAGTAGGTGACATTGGGTGCCACCCGTATAGTTGCACGTGCAGTTTAGCAGTTTCGTGTGCATATACCTCAAACTTCTTCTCGTCAATCATATGGCCGCTTGAAATTGTTTCTAACACTACTTTAAATTTGTGAATCAAGTTTTCATCTAATTCAGTAATCCGGGAAGCTGTTTGTGGATCTGCAAAGAATCTCCTCGATGTGTATATATGTATCTATGTATATATGTATCTATCTCGACCCGTTTTGCCTGTTACAAACAACCTTTATGTGAACAAAGTTATAATACCCTTGTGCACAAGTGCGCTCGGGTATAAATATCATTAGGTTTAAACCTATAAAAAACGAAATGGCGGAAAAAAGCGGTACTTTTTCTTTATGGACTTTGCAAAGCAAACATCAAACTGTATTTTAGTGTAAAAATGGTACCTCAGAAGTGCCCGGAAGATAATCATAGCCGCTTTTGTTTTTATTTTTATACCAAAAGATAACTATTTTCTTACAATTGTTTTCAAACAAAAAAAAGAAAGAATATTTTTTTTAAATGTTCAACAAATGCATATTTATTAATCCCACTTATTAAAACACTTAGGCGATTTGCACAGAAAATTTACTTTTTGGGAAAGGAGCGTACCTCAACCACACACGACTGAGTTTCGACTGGCGCATATATCGTGAGAGGTACACAAGAAGCTTGGAGGGCTGGAATATAACGTAGCGGTTATTTGGCTGTTAGTAAAATAAATCTGCAGTGCTTTTTGTTGTACTTTACAATTTGTACTTTTGGCTAGCTTTTTGATAGAAATACTCCTCTGGGCGCCGCGAAGTAAGCGGGAATTGGCTAATCTTATCTTCCTATTATAAATGTGAAAGTTTGTATGTTTGGATGTGTGAGAAATCATCACGCGGAAACGACTGAACGGATTTGCATGAAATTGTGTACCAAGATTGCTTATGGGCCAGATTGGTTAATAGGCTATTTTTTTAAGAGTTTCCACCTGCTAAAAAGTTTAATTTATTTAATATGCGGGGACGACTGAACGGATTTGCATGAAAATTTGCACACACATAGCTTATGACCCAGATTGGAAAATAGGCTACTTTTCTTAAGAGTTTCCACCTGTTAAAAAGTTTAATTAAATTAATACACGGAAACTACTGAACGGATTTGCATGAAATTTAGGATACGGATAGCTTTTGACCTAGGTTGGAAAATAGGCTACTTTTTTTAAGAGTTGCCATCTGGTAGAAATGTTTAATTAAATTAATTTGCGGAAATGAGTGAACTGATTTGCATGGAAGTTTTCACACAGATAGCTTATGATCTAGGTTGGAAAATAGGCTACTTTTCTTAAGAGTTGCCACCTGTTAAAAAAATTTAGTTAAATTAATACGCGGAAACGACTGGACGGATTTGCATGAAATTTTTCACACGGATAGCTTATGACTTAGGTTGGAAAAAAGGCTACTTTTTCTTAAGAGTTGCCATCTGTTTGAAATGCTTAATTAAATTAATATGCGGAAATGAGTGAACTGATTTGCATGAAGTTTTCACACAAATAGCTTATGAGCTAGGTTGGAAAATGAGATACTTTTCTTAAGAGTTCCCACCTGCTAAAAATGTTTAATTAAATTAATACGCGGAAACGTCTGAACGGATTTGCATGAAATTTTGCAAGCATATAGCTTATGACCTACAGTGGAAAATAGGCTAAGTTTTTGGAAGAGTTGCCGCTGTTAAAAAGGCTTAATTAAATTAATACGCGGAAACGACAAAACAGATTTGCATGAAATTTGGCAAAGAGATAGCTTATGACCTACGTTGGAAAATAGGCCAATATTTTAGGAGTTGCCACCTATTAGAAAAGTTTAATTAAATTAATACGCGGAAATTACTGAACCGATTTGCATGAAAGTTTGCACACAGATAGCTTATGACCTAGATTGGAAAATAGGCTACGTTTTTAAGAATTTCCACCTGTTTGAAAATGAAATTTTGCTCACAGATGGTTTATGACCTGGATTGAAAAATAGGCTACTGTTTTGTACTGCATATCTCTAGAGGAGTTCATGGTAGAGTACTGGGACTTGGTACTGGGGTATGTAAAATTCATTCTAAATTCACGGAAGAAGATTAGGGTTATAAGAAGAAAGGGCGTGGTACCTTCTGTACAAATTTACTTTTTCTTGCCACATATCCCTGGAAGTGTTTGTGGAAGAATACTGCAGCTTGGTACGGAGTTGTGTTACGGTTGCCAGACGTACTGATTTTATCAGTACAGTATTCATTTTTCAACTCTTGTACTGATTTTATTAATTTCTTCAATCAGTGCGCTAATGTCCTGATTTTTCAAAATTTGTACTGATTTGTAATGAATTTTCAATTGAAACAAAATACTTTATGATTTTCTTAAGGTTTTTACATAAAGTGGTAACTTACTTAAACTGTACTGTGAAAAGTAATACAACAAAAATATTAATAGTTTTATGGGCATATCGCTGGGTCGCACAGTGTTTCGACTATATGGAGGCAGGTGGAAATAAAGGTACACCTGCACCGATTTCACGGAAACTTGACATGTGCTCTAGTTTTACTTGGAAATAGAGAATTAAGAAATTTTGTAAAGATGCAATAATTGCCACGCCCTCTACTCTTGTGGGCGGAAACATTAAATGTCATCCGATTTCGATGAAATTTAGTTTGTGCTCTCTCTTTTATTAGAAAAACCTAAATATTAAATATGGGGAAGATTGGATCACTATAACGTCCAAAACTCACAAAAAATGTGGGCCCAGTCGTCAAATGTGATGGAATTTTGGTTATTTTTTTCCTGCTTTTCACTCTCAGAAAACAAAGGTTATACTATAAAATGACTTAGGTGTAAATACTCGCTTTTCCCCAATATTTGGTGGGATTTTTTTTTTATTGTTCGAAAAATTCTTTTCGCGAAATTATGCAAAAAGAAGCTGAAAATCAAGAATTAAGAAAATCAAAAATTACATATATTTGCAAGGCCGCGCGCAAAGATAAAATTTTATATTTAAAAACTACATAAAATTCCCTAAAACATTCGTCTAATTTCAAGACCTGACGTACCGGTACTCATACTTTTTTTACTAATAATCTTTAGCATCTGCATTTCAAAGTAAATTTTTTGGTAAGAAGATAGGAAAAAACCAAATAAATGATAAATACCTTCACCTGAATATTCCACGGGGTTAATTGCCAAAGGCAACGAAACTGATTAGTCGGTATCGTGCGCATTCCCATATTTTTTTGGGAATGTATCGTTCGTCAAGAAGGGGGTGAGTAAATAATGTAAAATTTTTTATTTATGACTTTTACTTTTCCCTCTCTAAGTCCAACCGGTTTTTTTTATCAACTGTCACCATGTATTTTTTCTACCTGCCTCCATATAGTCGAAACACTGTGGGTCGTATCGTACGAGTGCGATAATATGATGGAGATTAAATTATTTAAAACGAAGGCTGACTTTTTTGTCGAGTGTTGTTAGTTATCTCGAGAATATCTTTCACTATAATAACAGCAAATTTGAATATTCGAATGGCTTTTGCCTATAACTTAAACTGCCTTTAGATGAGGCGATGTTTTGGGAGGCGATAATCGCCTGCAAAAGTTGACTTTTACTGTGAGGCAAGCGATTTTTGAATCACCATTTACAGGAGCAATTTTTCTTGAGCAATAAAAATTCGCCTCATATAAATTCAGCT